TTTCTTAACATCATAATTATAGGTGGGTAATGTATTTCCATCTAGAAGCATTTCATTCAATAACACAAATAATTTTATGAAATTCTTATCGGTCTATTCATTAGTCGCATTCAAATTCATGAGCCTTAATATCGTTGATAATCATGTGAACTTAGTTGAGTCGACATACAAAGGAGTTTTTGCATCATTGGGCATCATGTCATTCACATGCATGGATGACAAAAATACTCGTGTTCATGGGTATCTGCATATAAAATTCAGGATGAATAGTTGATATCCGCTACTTATTACTTGTGGGTAGCGAGTAATGGATATTTTAATACCCGTTTATAAACAGGCCGGGTATGAGTATTATACTACTTGTATCCACGGGTCTTCGCTATCCGTAAAAAATAAAAAAATTATATTTTATTAAATTTAATTTAATTAAAATTAAAATTAATTTATATTTTATCAAATTAAATTTAATTAAAATTAAATTTTAATTGCCTTGTGGTTTTAGTTGTTAATAGAACTGAAACAGAAAGAACATATGGCTTTGATTCTATTAAATCTGAGGCTATATATCATTTTCAGAAGAAAAAAAATAAAATAATTTTTGAAAATTTTAATATATCTTTCTATTTCGGTTTTCTATCAATAGATACTAAAAAAGATATGGTTTCGGTTCTTTTACCCTATAAATTTACAAAAGGCTTAAATGCTTACTTCGTTACCATGTTAAGAGGTGAATTTCTGTTTAGTACTCAGTTTTAAAAATGAAGACATTCGGTCTCTATGTTATGAAAAGTATATGAATAAGGTCCACAAAGAACAAGTTCAACAAATCATTAAAGAAAAAACTAAACAAGAGAGAGCAAAAGCTGGACAGCAGAAGAGAGAAGAGAAAAAGTACGGCCACATCATGGACTTAACGCCGTTGCTGTCAACTTAACGGACATCACATTATTCATACACTTTTCATAACGCAGGGACCCAATGTCTTCATTTTTAAAACCGGGTACTAAATAGAAATTCACTTAAAACTGGATACTAAATAGAAATTCACCTCATCAGGACGAAATAAACATTTAAGCATTTACAAAATTTAAAAAAATTGTCATTTCAGTTTCTTCAAAACTAAAACATATTAGATGAGTTAAAACGCCAAAACAAGTGTGTGTGAATATAATTTATTCAAATTGGTCTATTAACCAGAAAGTACAAAATGAAACGTCTTACCTAATTGTTAAAAAGATGCAAATTTTTTCGCAATTTTTAACCAGTGATCTTTTGTAACAGAAGCATGTAAATTTACAAAATTTTAAAAACTATCACTATATTGTTATATATTTCATTTTCTTCAAAACTAAAACATATTACACCAGTTAAAACGTAAAAACAAGTGTATGTGAACATTTATTCATATTTGTTTATTAAGTGGAAAGTACAAAAGATAAGCTAAGAAAACTAATATAGGTTGAAACCTCTTACCTAATTGCTAGAAAGATGCAATTTTTTTTTTTGCAATTTTTAACCAGTGATTTTTTTCTACTGTGAAGAAATTTTGCAGAGAAACTAAAAAAATAAAAATAGTTGAATTGCCCCGCAATATTGAACGCCGATCTGTCTCTAATGTACGTTATTTTTATTTAGTTGTAAAGTAAAACTATATTGGTTGGTTAATATTTTCAATTGGATAATTAGATATCCTGAATGATTTAATTACTTAATTTTATTAACAATTATTTAAGAAATTAGTTTATAAATAAATAATTTGATTAAGTTTCAAGTTTTTGATGAATTTGAATAAATTATAATTAAGTTTGAATATTCAAAATTTATATATCTTTTAATTAAGTATATATGACTTAATATTTTTTCATGTATAAAATTGCATCATCTTTATGCTTTAAGAAATTATTGATACATAGAGCGTGAACAAGGTCTAGCGACCATGAAAGTTAAAAGTCATAATTAGAATCATAGAATAATCTTGTTGGATTTGTAAACTTGGTGTGTAAGGGAGATAAATCCAAAAAAGACGTCAAAGAACCATGCATCTGATTCTAAAATGTCACCTGGTGAGGTATGCAAGTATTGTCATTAAGATTTTGGATATAATCTCAACTCAATAATTTTTTCATTCTTCTTCCATTTTTGTTCAGATTCACGCATACGCACGCACACCGTGTATTATATATAATTGACAAACCTAACCTAATAGATTAAAAAACAATGTGTGATATGATATAATTCAGAGTAGAAAAATTAAGAAGATAGGGTTGATATGCAAGGATAAATGGAATATGATACACGAGGCAAGAAAGTAAATTAAGTCCATACATAACGTTGTTTGAGCCTTTTGATTTTGCTTTCTCCCACCCACTGTGTGAACGCAAAACTCTTAAAGGTCAATAAATTATAGCTATGTCCTACAAAGCCAAAATAGTGAACATCACTCTCCAAATAGAAACAACTCCGCGTAACAAAAGGAGTTTAATCATACCCAGTGTTGTTCATTCTGACAGGTAAAAATGTGACAAATCTAAAAAAACTGCAAACCAGATGACTAGGTTGTGGGATCCATCAAACCAGAGTGTGCTTCTTTTTTCCTTTTCGTTCTAACATTGATGTAAAGTTTTTATCAACTTTAAATTCAATCAAAGATTTATGCTAGGATTGGATGATTATCTCTGCGGAAATTTCTTTTCCAATGACGTTTTCGATACACAAAAATGCTAATTAAGATTTAAATTCGATAAGCCAACTTATAGTGTAAAAACTCGTAAGTTCTGCTTAATTATTGGGGCTCGTTTCCTTTTGCCTTTTTCACATCTTAAAAGATAGTGCAAGGTACTTCCAAGCCATGCTCTCTTGTTTTGCTTTGCTGATCAAACTTTTCCCCTCGGCCACAAAAAAAAAACAGACCAAACATATCAATATTAACGAGGAAATAAATATCTGGTAAGAACTCTTACGTGATGTTTTATTCTTTTGGAAAATACATGTGAGATGAAATAAAAAAATAATGGGAAGGAAGACGTAAGTTTGTCCCTGAGAAGATAAAAAAGGTAGCCATCATCCCCAACTACCCATATAATAATGCAATATTCCACAACGAAATTGGGTGTGGTTAGAGTAATAAAAGTTATACATGTCCCATAGTTAAGACTAAACTGACTCAACTTAAGGATTTTAATCAGTTTGCCCTTTTGTTCTTTCTCTGATAAGTATGCAAGATATCCCACTAAACATTGTCCAAGATTTTCCTTCATCACCAAACACTGTAAGATGGTCCCACCAAAAAGAGTTGAGAGGGAGTTTGGTTAAAGCATTTTACATTACATAGTTACATGTGAATTCACCAGAAATAAAGATCATAAACTGATTAAGCACTTTTTGGGAATTTTCTTTTTCCAAGCCTCGGTCCCACATGATGACACAATCACTTCAATTTTAAATGTCCCATTATTCATAGTGACGTGGCAGAAACTTGACGGTAGCGCCAGCACCACCGTGGAATCTCTCTGACCCCACTTCACTCTCTTATTTTCCTCACTTTTCTCCATTCATACCACTTCTGTCATCTTTAAACCTTTTTGTTAACATTTTTTAAGATAAGAATGTTAAATTCTCTTCGATGTTATAAGTATTTACGAAAAACCATACATAATCTTCTTTTAGACGACAATTTAGTATTGCATGATGTTGTAAGAGAATACAATTCTATCAGTGTTACAGTGTGTGTTCTGATTTTAAAATATGCATAAAATGGTAGCCATGCTACTCTTGTTGTTGATGGTATGTATGTGTTCCTTTGATTTAGCTTTTTCTTATCAATTTGCATTAAAGGTTCCAATGAGGTTAAAGATAGAAAAAGCTCCCATCAAATCAATTGTGTGTATTCCTAGGTCTCGTGCACTTGAAAATTGAAAGCTATTCTACCAAACACATTCAATTTAGAATTTACTGAAAATGAATTCGTTGGTAAAATATATTTTACATCAGTGTTATTAATTATTCACTGTGATAAAAGATACAGTTATTACTTTTATAATATTTGTTTTAAAAATTATATTTAAAATTATTTATAATTAATTAATGGACTTTGTGCTTGTAGTCTGTCAGAATTAAGCTCTTTAGTTTATTAAAATTTATCCTTTGTGTTTCTCCTGCGGCATAAAATTATAGTAAGTAGTTAGAGTAAGCCCAGTATCGCAAAACTATATTTTGTACTTTTAATGAAATGCACATATTTTAATGCAACTTTTTTAAAATCAACTTTACTTCAATGGTAATTCAAATATGGCAATAAGCTTCGCAATGCTGTCGCTTTAACACAGGTGATTGCTTTTAACCTTTTTTATTTCCTTTCAAAACGTAACAAATTACGGGTTATATGTTTTCAGCATCACAATGAACATACTTTTCTAAGTGTTCTTTGAAGAAGAAAAAAAGTAGGGATTCAAACAGAGAAAGAATGGTTGTAAGTCCCAAAAAGAGAGGGAGAAATTCTACCAAGAGTGGCTTTTAAGACTCTTGGATAATAATTTTGTACTTTCAACGTTTTCTTATACGGTCAATGTTGAATATACTCACTCATGAATATACTTTGAAAACTGAAACGTACTTTGATGAAATTGGAGGCACAACGCCCTGCTTTTGCTATAGATTTAAGCCAGGTTAAATCATTACCTTACCTGGTTTTACAATCCATTTTTCAACTAGAATGCAAATTAAGGAATAAGCCATTGGGAAGAACCCAAATCGCATGAAATGGAAAACATTAAATAACGGTAAATTAATTGAATTGGCAGGAAGTAAACTATAGTTCGTAGGTGTGAACGTAAACTGGTTGGAGTGGTGGGCCACTTTACTTTGGAATTTTTGGTGCACTTGAGACAAGTAATCTCATTCTCAAACTTTCGGTGTGCTAAATTTTGGACTTTTGGTTCCCTTATCAAATGCTATAAATAGCACACCATCAGTGACTCATGCTTTTACTCTACATTCTCTCATCTTCCTCATCTCAAAGAACTCACACATCCATCACCACTTTCTATTAGTGGGCGCATCTCACTCAATTTCAGTGTTATTCTGAATTTGTTCATTCCTTTTGGAAACTTGTGACGAAGTTCCCATTCTTGTTCTCATTTTTGCTTTGCAAACTTAATTGAGTCGCAGTTATTTTAACTTCTTGATACTACTCATTTAGTTTCATTCATTTTGTTCCAGCTTTCAGGGTTTTGAAACTTAAGGGTGGTGGTGGGGTTGGAGGGGAATAGGTGCCATAAGAGATTTCTAATTTCTTCAAGACGATGATCCTTGCATTTAATGGATGCACTCTGTGGAAGTGTCACTTGACATTTGATAAAAAATCTGTTGTAGACAAAAGCTTCTATTTCTGGATCTTCCAAATCTTTAATAGATATAGTCTTGGCACCTAGCAATAATTATGTCCTAATCCTTCCAAAAGATCCTGGAAACTACTTTTTTTTTAATCTCTTGCTATATAGCTTTGGTTACTTTTTCTTCATCAGCTTCACAATTTTTTGTGACTCTTTCTTTCAATATGGGAGGGGCAACACTGCCGCCAGGATTTCGTTTCCATCCAACTGATGAGGAACTAGTGGGATACTACCTTAAAAGAAAAGTAGAAGGGCTTGAAATTGAGCTTGAAGTTATCCCTGTGATCGATTTTTACAAATTCGATCCCTGGGAGTTGCCGGGTAATCTTCGATTTCACATTTTGATAATTTTATCAGCACCCTTACTATACTATGCAGAGACGTAAAAAAGAAACCTTTCTGATGCAAGTTTAACATAGTAAATGGACCAGACCAGTGTGAAACGCAACTTTATGAACACCACAAAGAAAGCGAGTGACTGTTTTGTCTGTTTTTCTTTTCACTTTTTCTTTAGCGGTTAATCATTCTGAGCTGTAAAACTAAAAGCTGTTCGATACGAATTCCTCAGTAAAAAAAAGAGTCATGGTTTTACTGGATTTATTTGTTGCATTTTATTTTTTCTCGTAAGGAAATGTGAGAAGGCTAACTCGTATCAGGTGTGTAATGCAGAGAAGTCTTTCCTTCCAAAACGGGATATGGAATGGTTTTTCTTCTGTCCACGGGATCGCAAGTACCCAAATGGATCAAGAACAAATAGAGCTACCAAAGCTGGGTATTGGAAAGCCACCGGAAAAGACAGAAAGGTGGTGTGCCAGTCTGATCCATCCAATGTTACTGGGTACCGCAAGACCTTGGTTTTCTATGCTGGGAGGGCCCCTTTAGGAGATAGAACTGATTGGGTCATGCATGAGTATCGCCTCTGTGATGATCTTGGCCAACCCACACCTTCTTTCCAGGTACAATCACATTCATGCCATATTTTGGATAAATTTCTGTTTTAACATTGGTTAAAAACATCTTATGTACTTCAACTTTTATAAAGCTTTTGTCTCAAAATAAAAATTGAGGTGTATAAGTTAAATTTAACTTGTAAAAGAATTTTGATTCTTCTTTGTTCTTTATTATCTTCTTCTATAAAGGGTTGGCTTTAATTTGCTAGGGTAATACTGAAAGACTTCAGCTAGTTTGTTTGTGGTCATTGTAGGGTGGTTTTGCCTTGTGCCGGGTTATTAAGAAGAATGAGAAAGCAAGTGCTACGAAGGGAGAAAACAAGGGCAAAAGGGCTGCAAGCAGTTCCATTAATGGGAGTGACACCTCAGTGAGATTCTCTGGTGAGCCATTCAGCAACTCTGGTGATTCTTCCTCTCATGCAAGCCAACTGAATAATGAGAGTCGTTATTCAAGCCCAATTACTTCTCCATACAATGTGGCTCCAATGGGAGAAATTAACCAAGCTTCTCTGGAAACCGATCCTTCAAACTTCTGGATCTCCCCGGACATGATTCTTGATTCTTCAAAGGTATATATCTAAGTAGAAACAAAGAAAGAAAGTTGAGATTGAATAAGTAGTTTTTGGAGAAGTTGCTTACTTTTTCCTTCACTAACTGCAGGACTACCCTCAATTACAGCATGCTGTATCTGAATATTTTCCACGGTATGACTTACCATGTATGGGGACACAATGGCAATCAGTTGAACATTCAGAAACTCCATCTAGTTTCTCCTACTCAAATGTCAATGGAGAAGTTGAATTTGCTGATACTCTCAGTCAAATTGGCGGCATGTCACCTTACTCAAGAGAATGGAATTCCATGGACTTCTATGGAAATGGAGATGTCCCTTATGAAGATTATGATCAAATTAACTCAATCTCATATCCATGACCCTTTTAAAATCTAAAAGCAAAAGGAAGACCATTCTCTCACTTTTCTTGCAACGCACGGTGTCAAATTGTGATGAAGGACTAATTCAAAGGCCAACAAGTGGAGATAAGAGCTGGTGATCTGAAGTTGCAGGAAGGCAATTTAAGGGTTGTCATAACTCCTTGTGGGGATTAGTTAACTATAGTTTTACTTGGTGTGGCATTATAAGGAATCTGAGACAACGCTTTTTAATGTATGTCTTGGAGTGATAAATAATGAGTAGAATCACCTTGTTGTGTAGCAAGCAGAAATTATTTTCTGCCTGAAGTGGTATTGATTATGTTTATCATTTACACCGTTATGTAGGATCCCCAGGCAACATCACTTTTATCCATATTGCCGGAGTTGGTTTACATTCAGCCATCTGTATGTGTGGTTCTATAAAATAAAGTTATATAATGGGAAAACTTCATATAAATGCTGTCAAGACTCAAAATCCTCTCCTCCTATCATCTAGTGCATATGTTATGATTGTCTTCACTCAAGGCTTCCTTGCATGTTGATATTTTCGTATATGTTCAACAAGCTATAAGAATATTGAGGGATAGATTCTATTTGTCACATTGCTCTACTATGTCAAAGTTTCTATACAGTAAGATTACGGATTTAAAATAGTTTGTATACCAAATAAAGAATGATGCAGACCCTTAATTTTTGAAAAACTGAAAGTAGAAGACAAAGCTAAAAGAAATTAGATTATGCATGTGAATAACAGGACTCTTTGGTTTAGCTTTCAGTCAACTCAGCCGCCACATATGGTGGTCATTTCATTTTTGTTTTTTCCTATAAAAATAAAGGTAAAATGAAATTCTACATTTAGAATTGACATGACATTTCACCGTACAGTTGTTTTGATTAGCATCCAAGATACGGCTGGCTTGTCCTTTTTGCCTTAGTGGGTGATAATAGGTGTTAATGACCTTTTAATGGATTCTATGTCAATGAATCAGCAGCTTTAATCAAAGAATATTTTATTGGAATACTTTGTGAAGTAAGGAAGAATTATGTCAACCCGTTATTTGGTGGTAATTGAGAAATTCTACCATCCTTACCACTTAAGCAGTGGGGTGTGTTAAGGATTTGCTTTTAGGTTCTGCAATCCACCACTTAAGTGTTGTGTTAATTGTGATGACTGTTCAGTGCAGCTTTTGGCTTTTTCTCCACTCAATCAGAAGCCACCGCCTCTGTAAAGACACATGCTATCCAAACAGTTCAAATAACTATTCACCAATATGATAGTCACTTCAATAATTCAACTATAAGAAGAGTTGTAGAGCAATGACTAGAGTTACTATCATTATTTTCAATCATTCATACCTTCTCAAATATCATTTAACATATTGTAAAAGTTAAACAACTAACCACTAAAATTGCTAGCTAATGATGTGGGGGCGAAGTTTGTGCTAAAGAACAGTCAGGCATAATTGGTTTACTGAAGGGTGGTTCTAATTGCAGTCATTCCTAAGATCTTTAGTTGGAACTTTTTGAGGGTTTGTTGTTTTATTTGCAGCCTTGAAAACAATGGTTTAATCTAAGGTTAATGAGAAATATGATTTAAACAGAACATATTGCAAAAACAGTTAGGATGTTGCGGTGGATTAACCTCCAACAATTGTTTTCTTGACAAAATCTGCATCAACCCATATTAACGATGCAATTGTAAATACAAGTAGTATTATGATGATGTTTCTTGAGCTTTGCATAACTAACTGCTGGGCTCACCATTTGCATGTTTCTTTACTAACTCAACTCTGTAGTTTGGATTTTGGGAGAGTATATAACAGCAGCAGCTCAAAGTTCCAAAGAATCGGTTACATTACTGAACACTTTTTTCACCACCATCTTGCAGTTCATCTCAAGAGTGAAATTTGTATATTGATATTCAACCAGCCCCTGTATAGCTTTTAGAAGCCCCGTTGCTGCATCTTCCAACACCGCAATTCAAGGTTTCCACGAAGCCACAATACATTGACTCTATTTTAAAATGTCTGTTTCATGAAAAGCTCTTTGAGTAACGATTAAGAAATTTATTGAATACTCGTTGTTCACAAAGAGGTTCCCATGTATAAAAAAATACCAAGGTGATTACACTGTCATGTTTCCAATACATCTTTTCTGGCAGACGGAAGCACAACAAAGGATACTTTATAAGAATATAACTCTTAACATTTCTTTTTATTGCTTTTAGTTATGTTCTATCACTATTAAAAATTTATTAGCCCCAATGATAAAGCTTGTTCACCAAACCCCTCCCTCTATTTGTCAATAACAACACAGTTGTAACAATTTCGAGAACGATAAGATTAGGCTGGGATCTCGACCTTCTAAAATATTATAAATTATCTTATGGTTATCCTTTGCCATCATGACTACTTTGTTATTCTTTCTAGTAAGTAAAACTACTTAAAATAACGATTAAAATGTTAAATATTAATCTCATAAATTAACAGATAAAATGACTAATATTTTGTGGAAGTACAGAAGTAAACAATGACACACATCTATGCCTTCTTCTGAAGTAAGCATATTGTTCCCTCAGCATCTTCTCATTCTCAAGCGAAAATGCATGTCAGCAAAGCAAGATTTTCAGGAACACTTTCATAAAGGGGCAACAATTCCAGAACTCTTCAAACACAAAACGACCTATAATCTGATAAAGATTGTGACAGATTCTGGCCACCAACATACAGTTAACTCTTAAAGTACTAATGTGACTTTTTCCTCGCTAAGCATTGCTTTAATGTGGTTGATTAAGAAATAAATAATCCTTCAACCATTATTCTCCACTGGAGGAGTTGAAAACGAAATGAGTGAAAAGCATCCTCAGTGGAAGTTAATTTATTCAGCAGGTATTGGTACTTTATAAATTTCTTGGTGAATCCTTGTAGTGGAAGATGAGATCAAAGACCCAAGTGGTTACGTATTCATTCATGCACAAAATATTACAATACACAGACATTGACTCATTATAGACGTGGACAGCACAAAATATACTATTATAGTATAGTGTTACTTACCCTCTTTATGAAGTTCTAGTATAAGCTTGCAATTTGAGGACTACAAAAGACTTCCACTTCTTGAAGGGTTGCCCTTGACTCATCACCAAATATAGACTCCTTCCCATCCTCTCTTTTGGCATAAGACAATCCCAATCTAGACTTCGCTTGTCTCAAGTCACCAATGCCAGAATTGGTATCAGGCCCAGCAAAGCCCCCCATAACTGGGGCCAATGGGGGCCCTATGAGAAGCCCATCTGCCCCAAATTGTGGGCCACCACGTGCATAATCAAACAGGGCTGCACCACTTCCACCAACTTTGGGCAAAATAATGGGCTTAGCTTCATTGTCTAGCCAGTAAAATAGGAAGGCATCAAATGTATCATAGTAGTCATCTGTGCTTCTATACCCTTCAGGGTTAAATGCACCAAACTTGAAAGACTTGTTTGTGTAGCCGATTATCACGCATGGCCCCTTGAAGTCACAGCATTCGTGGAAATTTGTAGCACTGAACCCATCAATCGAAGCCCTATAGCAGCACTTTAGCTCCTTCCCTGATAAAAATTATGTCAAATATATATTTTGAGTTCATGGATCATTGTAACAGTATATAGAAATAGTACTATGATTCTATGTGTTGTTCAGTAATTAGGCAGATAGAAAAAGGGATCGTAGAAGTACCTCTCAAAAATGTTTTGTCCACCAGAGAAGTTGAGAAAGTGAGATCAATATCATAGTATTTAGTCTGAGGTTTGTCATTAACATTCTTCTTGCCTATGTTCCAACCAAATAAGCCATTTGTGCTTGTCTTCCAACCCTGGAGTGATGGTGAGTTTGGAATGCAATATGCCATCCACAGATCACCAACTAAGCACTATCTCTTCTCTCTTCCTCTTTTGAACCACAATTCAACATCTTATCCATATTTCCTCACAAAATATCTTCTACCCCTTTTTCACCCTATGTTTTTGGAATAAAATCTCTCACTGGCTCTCATTTGCTTGGACCCATTTCTACACAAAACTTGGCTCAAATGTACATGACAATGAAAAATCATATCCCTAATATTTCATCCCCTTTACCTTGTAGACTGTGTCTAACTGTTTTGTTTCAGCTTAAAATTAATTTTGGAAATTTATTAAATTAGAGAGAATTCTTCATCAGTGCCTTTTCTTTAGCCCTTTTGTCATGGGTACGTTTATATCGTGACTAAAGGCTTTAATCGCGTTCAAATAAATATACAAATTAATATATATATATATATATATATA